TTTTTTTTATATAAATATATTAAAAATAAAAATAATAAGAAAATATGTTTTTGTTTTAGATCATTTTCAATGTCAAAAAACAGCTGTTGAACAATTAAAAGAACGTTTTGAAAAAATGAACTTATCATATGATGCATATAGGTTTGTTAGTTTATTAAATTCGTCCCCTCAGAAATCGATTTTCGGACAGGTATATTGAGTTCGTGTGAAATTTTCAGTCCTATATCATGAAGCTTTCGGAAGATATTCAATAATCAAAGATGAAAAATAGGTAATTGCAGAACTCCAAAATTCTTTGTGCACTCTTATTCTATATTTTTAACGTTCTGTTTTATTTGAAAGCGTATGTCAGAGTGTAATGTCGTTTTTTTAACTTATTACTTATGCGGAGAAAAATCATAACAAGTTTATTAGCTCGAGAAGTGGTCCTCTATTTATAGAAGTGTTTTTTACTATAATAATAAAAATAGTGTACTTGAAAAAAATGGATACTGCATCTTCACATACACCAACCGAAAAACATTTCCTACTGTTTTTGTAAACAACATATTTTTCAAGGTCATGAAAATCCAGGTGCGTAACGTCTCCATGCTTCTGAAAGTCGTATACATAATGGTTCTGTTGCTTTTGAAAATTGTCCGCACAGTGCTCTTTTTTGTGAGAGTCAACCATTCTGCACTTCCTGCCTTCAATACTTACTGATGTCTCTGCGAAAATCATCGAACATTTCTGCAGAAAATAATATGCAAAATAAAAAAAAATCATCTCATTTATGAAAGATCAGACTTCGGGCTATGTTTCCGTGCATTTAGTTCAATTTCGGTTTTTCTGACGAAAATTGACTTTTTTTGATGGTGGAAGGTGTATATAATAACTTTTTATTTAACTGTAATTATATATTTAGTTCAATTGAATATGTTGGAACTCAAACGTTCGGTGGAAAACAAACAGATTTTAATGAGATAAAAGCAACAATTACAGCAACACTTGAAAATAACAAAATTCGTTCACCACGACGTTTATCAGTTATTTTTAAAGCTCTAAAAGTAATATAAGTAGATAAATTTGAAATTTTTTTTTTCTTATTTTCTAAAATTAAACATAGAAAGGCGACTGTAAGGTTTTGATTACAGAACGGGGTCTGTGTGGGGTTGTAGAGAAAGATTTCGTCTATCTAATGACGTATGTATTATCATTTGCTAGAACGGACCTTTGGTCTGTCAATAGGTGGTGACGCTTTCACCGCGGCCGCAGTAGATGGTGACCTCATCTATTGATATAATGCTTGTTGTCGAAAAACTTATAGTCGCCTTTGAATAATTTGAAAAAGAAATTTCAATGTATTTTTTTTTCGTTGATGTCTTTTAGGCTTTAAACGAAAAGTTTAATCATGCTATACCTCCTGAAATGCCTTCAACATTACCCGATGATTTTT